ACCAGCCAATTCATGTAGTGCAATCAGGGCCGTCTTTACCATATGCGCTGCCGGGGTGCAAAGATCCGCCCAGCGCCCCCAAATTTAGTGCTGCCCACGTCGACACCCAAGATATACTTCTCTGCAGTTGCAGGTGAGGCCATGGCGGCATCGGCAGCGTCATGCTCTTCCGAGTCTTGCTGCCATCGCCCCTCAAGAGCCAGGCGCCCAAGCTCCGCAAAGGTGTGCAGCTTCACATCCGGGTGCTTTTAAAAGCTCCCCAGGAGGAGGAAGGAGAAGAAGAGGGATGCAGCAGCCGTGCCAATAGCAGGTGAGAGAGCAATGCCTCTCCATTCAGGGCGGGACTCCGGGGAGGAGAAAGCGGCCAGGGTGGAGGCAGCAGCGTCAGCCAGCTTTGAATGTCAGCTTGATCAAAATTATTTATTATTTCATAACAGGTAGATGGTTAAGAGCTTAGGCGTTTTCAGCAGCGGGCACCTGGCGCCCCCCCCCCCGAATTCAGCGCCAGGGTGCCATGCACCCCTTGCACCCCCGGGTAAAGATGGCCCTAAGTGCTATTATAGGCCGCATTCACACTATATATTTTAAGCATCTTCATACCATTTTAAATAGTCATGGCTTCCCCTCCCAGAGCTACAATTCCCAGAGTGGCTTAACAGCCAATCCCTCTTGCGTGGCTAGACCCCTCCCCCATGTGAAATGAAGACACTGGACACGTTATTTAAGGTTAATGGGCATAAATAGGCCACAACTTTATTGATTACAGAAATGAAAGGTATTGGCCTTAGGCATTGGCTCCTAACAACTACCCGGCACCCAGACCGGGAAGGGTTAACCACAAACCGTGGGAGTCCTGTTGAAGTACGCCAACTAGGATCCCACGGGTGTCACCGCTCGGGGGCGTGCCGGGGGCCCTCACCTCCCCAGGTTTCGGACAAGGCAACGCCCCACCGGAGTCCTTTACCGGACTACCCTTTTCATGGGGGAAGGTGATGGCGCTTCCTTCCCCCCCGCTCATTTGCATAACAATGAACCCCTGCCAATGCCTAACCGCCACTCGAGCAAAGCTCGCCGCCAATACCTTCATAGCTGTAACCAACCCCTAATCCCTGCTAGGATATCCCCCAGCCAAATATCGTTACCAGCATCTGACAGATGCACGCCATCCCGTCTGTAGAGGGCCTCATTGCTGAACTGGATGCCTGGGTGACCTATGAAGCACCCGCCCAGTGCCGCCACTCTACGCCTCACAGCCCGTTCCAAAACCTTTCTTGCTTTATTGATTCCAACCAGGCTCATGCAATCCCTCCAAGTCCTCCTCTCAAGCAACGAGGACCACAAGATGGCCATATCGGGGTAAACTGCCTTCAGTTCAGCAAAGTCGTCAAAAATGTTCCATCTCAAATCAATAGCTTTGCGGTACGCAAGGTCGTTTTCCCCCAGCTGGATAACCAGCGCATCAGGAGGGCCCACGGAGGCAGCCTTTGCCATCACCACTGCCTTGAATTCACTCCATCGCATGCCCCTTCGTGCTATCCACAGCAGCTCGATATTCTTTGGCAGGCTCAAATTCGGGCCCAAGCCGTTAGCCATAGCGCGATTTTTGGCCCAATGGACGATGCTGTGGCCCACCAACCAGATGCGCACCCGCTTGCAATCTGAAAGGAAAAATAGGCAGGGAAAGCAGGGTCAGGGGAACCATCACAAGTCACAGGTTTTTTCTCACATAAGCTTTGTATGCATTAGATTTCCACCTCCCCAAGTCCTTAATCCTCTCTGCCGAGAGCCCAAGATGCACAGCAGTGGTCGCAGCCCCGATCCGGAAAGAGTGTGCAGCAAAATCGGTAGCGGGCAGACCGCAGGCGGTCAATGCCAGGCGCATCACCCTCGAAAACTGATGCCTGGCCAAGAGTGATCCATCTGCGTGAATAAACAGAGGGCCAGGACCCTTGGGTCTTAGGTAGAGGAAACGCCTCGTATCCCTAACTGGACATGGACCACTATCTTTTGCCGCTGGTAAACGCAGGAGAGCCCCCTACCCTGTTGGTCTGTCTTTGAATTTCGGACCTGAATTATTAGGTCAGTCTCCGATAGGGTCAGATCACTTAAAAGGATACCCCTCTGGGAGTGGTCAGTCCCCCCTTCGCAGACGACCTCGCCTATGCGCAAGGCGCCAAAGAAGGCTATGGAATATGCGGCCGAAAATAGACGAGCTTCGTACTTTGACCAGCAGATCTCCCTTAATTTTTTGTGCATCTGGGACAGAATATCATACGTTATGGGTCTTCTCTTGTCAGAGCTGGGGGGCTGTTGCCGACGCCAACCCTCTAAAGTCTTACGCACGATAAATTGATGCACACGGGTCGGTGGCAAAAAGGCTTTACAAAAGTAAGAAATCCCCGCGGACTGAATATTGAGAGTCCTCGGAGCCCTGCCCAGCTTCTTCAGATGGGTCAAATAGCGGAGGACTTCCCTCGTAGAGGGCACCGCGGTTCGCCCAGCGCACGGCATACTGCCGCGGAACGTTAAGAAGTCAGCCCAGGCCTTCCCATATGATCTCATTGTGGAGGGGGCGACTGCACCGAATACTCCCTTCATCACTTCCTGTTCCCAAGGCTCCAGAGATGCTCCGGGAAAGACATCGATGATTGCTCCGCGTCCGGCGCTAACGAGCGGAAGCGCTCCATCTGAAAACGAGATAGAGCATCCGCGATGTCGTTATTAACCCCAGGTACGAATTTGGCGGAGAAATATATATTCTGTTCCAGGCAAAGGAGGACAAAGGACCGAAGCAAGTTTCCCACCCTTGTAGAACGCGCGGATTGCCTAGAAAGAACCGCGACCACCGCCTGGTTATCTGTATTGAAACAAACCCTATGATTACGGAACTGCTCTGCCCAAAGATGCACTGCTACCACGATAGGGAAAAATTCCAGGAAAGTAAGGTCCCGAGAAATGGGTTGGCCCTGCCAGTCAGCGGGCCATTTCTGTGCACACCACTGACCCCTGAAATAGACACCGAAACCCAAGGAACCTGCAGCATCAGAGTGAACTTGGAAATCTGCGCCCAGCGCCAAGGAATCCTGCCATAAGGATATACCGTTGTACTTGTCAAGGAATTGTAACCACATTACCAAATCTGCTTTGACTTCCTTAGAGAGGCGTACCCTATGCTGCGGGGCCCTCAGGCCCGCGGATAGTCTGGCCAGACGTCCGCAAAAGGGGCGCCCTGGCGACACTACCCTGCAGGCGAAATTCAGGTGTCCCAGCAGGGATTGAATTTGCCTCAGGGTAACCTTCTTTAGAGGCAGTAACTGCTGTATGAGGGCCTTAAGAGCAAGCAGTTTGTTTTCAGGCAGCCTGGACGTCTGGGCAACGGTATCTAATTCAATACCCAGATAGACCAAAGAGGTGGCCGGACCCTCTGTTTTCTCAGCGGCTAGCGGAACCCCTAGTTCTCCTGCTAGGGCAGTGAAAGCCTCAAGGAGGGAGGAGCATCGTTGCATGGTATCTGCCACTAAAATAAAATCATCGAGGTAATGAGACACGCCCTGAGAGCCGGTTTTGAAGCGTAATGCCCAATCCAGAAATGTACTAAACGATTCAAAGGCTGAGCATGCCACAGAGCACCCCATAGGCATAGCCTTGTCGATGAAATAGGCACCCCCAAAACTGAAACCCAACCAGCGGAAATCATCCGGATGGACCGGAAGAAGGCGAAAGGCCGACTCGATGTCGCATTTGGCTAAGAGCGCCCCTTTCCCAAAACCGCGTATCATTTTCACTGCTTGATCGAAGGAGGCGTATTTCACTGTGCAAAGCTCCTGGGGGATCGCGTCATTGACCGAACCTCCTCTTGGGTAAGAGAGGTTGTGGATCATGCGGAACTCCCCCGGGGCCTTTTTAGGCACGATGCCGAGGGGGGACAGGTGAAGTCCCTCCAAGGGTGGGCTGAGGAAAGGGCCAGCCACCCGACCCGCTCTAATTTCTTTTTCAATCTTTTTTCTTAACTATCTCTGGCCTTTCCCTAACTGATTTTTGATTTTTTGGATTCCCAGCATTGGGCGGGAAAGCTACCGGGATTCTGAAACCTTTGGAGAAGCCCTCCCACAAATATTGCGCAGCTTTGCGATCGGGGTATTGCTCGAGGAGGAGTTTTAGCGGCTGCAAACGGACGGGGGAGGAGGCCAAACCTAGGTGCTGATTACTGGCGGTTACCAGGTCCTTGGTGGGAAGATCCGGGGGCACCTCTGGTGTTATTGTGGAAGTACCCCCTGCCCCCCCGAAAGGGCTGCTGCTTGTTCTTGAAGCACGCGGATGCGGGGTGACTCCCCAGCACCGGTCGCACTCATGCAAATACTTACATGAGGGTCTCGAACACGCGCCCTGTTGAACTCCCAGCACAGGCGACGTCGTTTTACCTCTATCTTACCCGCCTTGGCAGAAGCTAAATTTTTCTTATCGATGTAGGGGTTGACGTCCTCGCCCCAGTAGTTCGGGTCAGTCAGGTCCCAACGGGTGGATGGTAGGAGAGAAGCATTTCTACGAAAGTTCTCATCATATGTTAGCGCCGCTTGCTCCCCTGCGAGGGAGTGAGCCCGCCTTACGTGAGCCAGGTAGGCAACCAAATCCATGGAGCGCCGTGGATAGGCAGCGCAAACGACACCCATAAAGACCTGGTACCCGTCCAACCAGTTCTCGAAGGTGCGCTCAGCCCTGGGGGTCCTGTATCTTCCCTTGCCAGACGAGCGCCTCTTTTCACCTTTTCCCAATAGTTTAGCGGGTGGGAGCAGGGTGAACATATCCACATAGTCCCCATTGAGGATTTTATTCCTTTTCCTCTGGGACAAATGGTTCCCCAGAATAAAATCAGTGGACTGATTGGTGGCCACCTTTACATCCTCTACCAAGGCCCCATCCTTCCAATCCAGCACCCCATTAAAAGACTTACGATGGGAATTGGCTCGCCTCTCATGGGCCCAAAGCGGGATCCCATGATTCCCTTCACCCAAGCCCCAATAGGCATCCATGGGGCCCTCACTGTCAGAATCAGAAGAAGACGTACCTGAGTCATCCTCTGTATCGGACTGTTTGCTCCTTTTCTTTTTTGAAGAGGTGTGCTTCTTCTTAGATTTTCGTTTTCCACCCTGGACCTCTGGGA